CTACACACTTGAATGGAAACAAGCAATGGTGAACAAATAAAAGGCTGTATATTTTTTTTTCTAAAGAAGTGGAGTGCACAAAGGGGCAGGATATGTACTTGTCATAACCCCTCAAATTCCTCTATTTTTGCAGTAATTTGTGTCACCTGTACATACAGCTATTCCTGAAGCATTCGTTAATGGCAAAATTCAGTTTTGTAATTCAGTATTGTAATTCAGTGTTGAAATCTAGTCTTAGCTACATGCATTTGACATGAAAATAACCTGAATGTAATCAAGATCAATAGCCTGACTCTGAAGGAGCAAGGCATAAGATCGGAAATACCCTAAATTTTAAGAAACAAATATTGCATGCATTCGCTGTTCATTATGTTCACTTCCAATTTCATGCAGATGTCCCCTTGTGCTACTTTATCTTAACCTCGGCCAGCCTGCGGCCTCGTTGAAATATAAAAAGCACTCAGGAAATTCTGAATTTGTCAGTTCATATAATTTGTTATATTCAATGCCGGAGCATGCAATATTTGTATAATATCGATCTTAGCAGAATACCATTAGTAGATTAAAACTTGTTGCTATTATATACATGGTGAAATGTATATGCACTCTTAACTGCCTATCTGCATGCATGCACGCAGCTCTATATCGTCGCTGTTTTCACGAAGTGACGGTAGTGAAAAAAAATTGCATTCACTTTGCATTACGATTTTCCTCACTACCGTCACTTCGTGAAAACAAGGACGATATAAAGCCATATACACAAGGACACAAATACAATTAAATTGTAACCAAGCCAAAAGTTGCACTGGGCTCAATTAATAATGCAATAAGTTATCTCCTTGTAGAACGGAAATTAATCCTTTTAAATATTCAATGAAATATAAAAAACTACTTCTAAGATTTAAAGAGAATGTGTTCAGCCTCTTGAAGTTCTAGGTATCTAACAGAAATGTTTACTATCAAAATAGCCATTCAGAATGATTTCCTGAGGACCAAAAAAGTGCACATGTATAAGCATCAAAGTTTAGTTCTTATTGGCTACTGACAGCAAGAAGAGTGTTAAATCTGTAAATGCTATTAGTTAAAAGGATAAATCCACCCTGATATTAAGTTGGTTCTAATAAAAGAACAAAAATGAGAGAAACAGTTAAGTCAGATTTAGAGCAAAACCATATTATTATTTTTTTGAAGGTGTGATCATAGACCTACCACCATCTATGGTGTGATAAATCAAACATATATTGGCAACTCTATGTCTTGTCTTATGAGGTCTCCTCCCATTTGCCCTGTCCTTAAAAATCTTCAGAAATTTATGGTTAAAAAAAAGTTAAACTTTCAATCATACTTTCACCCTAAATATAATTATCACAAGTATGTTTGAATACAACCCCTGTATGAAATAAGTCTATTCCATCATCACAAACTAATAAAATGAAAGTTTATGAAATTTTCTGTACAGAGCAAATTGGAGAGAAGCTCGCAAGGTACATCACAGTGTTACCAATTTATGTTTCACTGATGTCAACTTCAAAAATTCATAACTTTCCTATTTTTAGGTAGATATTGCTCAAACTTTCAATAGTTTGTTTATAAAGTTCGTGTTTTCATTAAAACCAAGATAATATGTGGGTGGACTTCCCCTGAACACCCCTCTAGATCTCAAGACTAAATGACATGAGATCAGGTGGCTAACTATATTAAACCCATCGGCTACGGGAACCAGGTGGTCTCTGTGTTACGTCTATGGGAAGGAGAACATTCAGTAGTCAATGGGTTAAGTACACTGGCAAACAACTTGGCACTCCACACTACATTAGTCAATTTCTATTAACATGAAATTTACTTGGGGGTGATTACATGGCATACTTGACTTAGTTAATATTCTAGATAGTATTTCATTACATATACCGGTAGTAATAATCAATTGTGTCCACACATTTCATACATATTAATGCTCATGCTGTCTTCATGAATTATTTTAAAATTCACACTGTTTTTCTTTCTGTAATTTTTCTTTTTGTAGTAACTGTAGTTACTGTCTGCATCTCTTTAACATATTTAATTCATATTTCATAATATATAGCTGGAAAATATGTTATTTTTTAAATAGATATCTGTTTAGTACACTGATTGAAATGATATTAACTCAATAAAAAAGTACTTCCTCGCCTCTACCAAACCTTGCCCAAATAGAATAAATTGCCAACGGATACAATAATGACATGCCATCTTCATGATCTGAATATCAATTACTTATTTGCCAACTAACGTAGAATATGTATGTGTCATTTACCATTGTCTTTCCTCCCTTTCCTTCATCAAAAGAATAAGAAAACCAATACAATCCCCCTACATCCTGTGTTTTTTCTTCTTCTTACATTGCCTAGTCTTAATTTGCAAGAGCCACATCATTTTTCTCCAATCAAGCGGATATACACCAAAGCTTGAGTGTGAAAGATCTGAGAACGTATTACTTTGGAACGTTACCATGGCAACAGCACTAGAGCCATCACTGCCAATTTAGAATGGATTCCAAAATGCCTCCATGCTATTTTGTCTGACAATACAACTAATCTGGCATGAACCAGGGAAGAGACAGAAAAAATAAAAACCTGAAATGGAATTGCATGTGCCGTGGTAACTTATTTGCGGTCTGCGAAGTGTTATTGCTGTATAATGCTTGAAAAGTATTCGGAAGAAGCAGTGAAGCAAAGGCTCGTGGGTTAAGGGCATAAAGAAAAAATAATATGCAATGGTACTAGTACGCTGATAACTTGATTTGCGTGTAATTGAATTATGAATTAAAATGCTATTCTCACACCGCTCGTAGGGTAATTCAATAAGACAAGTTCCAGGGGTCTGCACATTCACAATATACATTCAGTGACAAGCAAAGTAACATGGTTTCCCAATTCTTAATAACTGTTTTGATGTATAAATCAAATTTATGCAAAACGTGTTAACTCACGTATGATTGCAGGAGAAACTGAAGTACACTCTTGCCTTTTCACATTCATTGTTCTCTCTCTCTCTCCCTCTCTCTCTCTCTCTCTCTTTCTCTCTCTCTCTCTATCTCTCTCTTCAAAGTTTTCTTTGAATAAAATCTGTAAACATGAAGTGTTTCCCAGTCTGATGTTTTCTTTTGTTGCTTGTGAAGAGTGACAAACCCATAATTCATAATAAAAACACATGAAAATTTGTACAATAAGAGTTTAAAGAGTACCTTTATTTCATGAAATGTCTCCTTCTTTTCTTTTTTTAGCCTACACTGCATCATAAAAAAATGACCCACAATTTCCTACAACCTACATCTGGAGGGTTCAAACCATCTTGCCTATATAATCAAAAATCAAATTACTAGCACCTCTAACAAACATTGTTCTTTGATTAAAAAAGTGATCCAGATTTTGAAAGTCTCAGTTCATTAATTCAATGTATGTAACCTAGCCACTGCATATAAACGATCCCTACTTGGACTGGTAGCTTCTCCTTAAATGTTGATTGCTAGTCTTTCCATTGGAAACGACAAAGATAAATTTGTCTAGACGCATGCTCGTTCTTAAATTTGGGCTTTATCATTCCTGCATTTATCAAGTCTAAGAACCTCTCAGTCTCAAGTCTCTCAGTAAATGACAACTAATGAATAAGTCACCTTGCCAATGGACAGTATATTTGCTATATAGAAAGTCTTTTCCAAACTGCTGTCTATAAAAGATGCCAAATCGACTCTATGTACACAGCACTCAATATGGAATTCTCATAACTTTGCTAGTTTCAAGTTGGGTTTGACTGTTCATTCCACCAAAACAACCACCCCCCCCCCCCACCTTTTCCACCAGACTCATAAAAATAAAAATGATAAAAAAAACTAAAAAAACTACTGCTAAGATTTATGCTGTAACATTTACTCCCCCTTTCCCATTTGTGTATGCATGTGGTGAGGACCATATTTTACTTTTGCTGAAACAGCCCATCTCTTCCTCACAATGATTGATACATGCGCCCTTTTCTTTGTTGCTTAGAAGGGCAATGTATAATGAATTTCTGCATAGGACAGGAGAAATCAATACACTTATTTCTAACCCCACACTAGAACCTTTGCTCGATATCGTCTCACAGTATGGTGTAAAGATAATGATGTGCTCCCCAGACCATCCAAATGTAATCTCATGACTACATCCTTCTTAAGAAACTGAAATCCTCCTACTGATTATAAACTGAACTCATCCCAACTGAATGTTGACCTCAAACTACTTCGAGTCACAATACAAAAAGATCCAAAGTGGGATTTACATATCTCAGATATTGTAACGAAGGCATCTCGAAGACTGTAATCACTATGCACCCTAAGGAAATCAAAGGCAAGTCTGTCGGATATGGTAACTGTTTACACCACTTACATAAGACCCATCCTTGAATATGCTTCCCCTGTTTGGCATACTTTAATCACCCGTAATGAGACCCATACATTAGAATTTGATCAAAAATGAGCACTCAAACTAATTGTGGGATACGATTTATGCCCTTGCCATGACTAATCTTCCTGCTCTTTCTTCTATATAGAACAGATTTACTTTTTTCGAGTTTTTGATAAAACTACCCTATTATGATAGCATGCATGCCTTGATGGTATGCTTTATAATAATGTTTTGATATGTGAATGTAACTTTTTATATGCATCTTCTACACCTTCTCACCTATACTCACACATTATATTTACTGTACTCCTCCCTGAACTACCGAACCCTACAACATTTGATACCTGCTCCCTAAGAGAAAAATGATTATACTTGCACATAGTATTTTTGCTGGAATTTACAGCCTGTTCTCCTCCTTGCACTACTGAACCTTACAACATTCAATACTTGCTCCTTAATGAATAGTTGATTATACTCACACATAGTATTTTTGCTGGAATTTACAGCCTGTACTCATCCCTGCACTATTGAACCTTGCAACATTCAATACTTTCTCTCTAAGAAATATTTGATAATACTCACGCATTATATTTTTGCTGGAGCAGCCTGTACTCCTCCCTGCACTCGTCCAGTTCATTCTCTGTGTAGAGAGTACTCTGCAGGAACTCGCTCTCCATCAGGTTAATCCTCTGTTTGCTCTCTTCTACCCGTTGCTTTAGAGTGTAGTACTGTTCCTTGCTGCAACCGCACACCTGTAAGAAGACATTAAAAGAGACAATTATATATATATATATATATATATATATATATATATATATATGTATATATATATATATATATATATATGTCATAAATGTACAAAGTGCTCATACTCTTGCCCACTCCTGCGACTAAACAATCATGTGTAAAAGGTTCTGGGACAAAGGCTTTGATGACTTTTGTTCTTCTGTCACTCTCCTCTCCCTCTCCTCTCCTAGATGCTTCAGGGTGTATGCAGTAGACTTTATCGTTCCTTGCTGCAACCATAATTATAATCAACAGAAGATAAAAAGAACTGGACATATGTACACACTACACAGGAAGATACTGCATTATTCATTCCTTATCCTTTTATATTCTGTGATCATGATTCTAAAACAAATGCTCCAGCGACCATTGATGAATAGTCACTTTCCATTAAGTTTATTCTCTGTTTGCTTTCCTCTACCCGTTGCTTCATAGAGTACTACTGTTCCTTTCTGCACCTGCACACCCCCATTACATCAACCAAAAGAAAGAGAATACAACATTAAGTATAGGCACACAAGACAACAGTGTAATTTGTGCAAGTCTATTTTCCTCATTTAGTGATGTGTACATAGAAAAGGGCATTCAAAATGAAGTATGTACATTAGACGAAATTATATTTTCGATAGAAGTAACGATGTCGCTTTCAACCAACATGAGCATAAAAAAGAGGAAAAAAGACTGAAGAAAATAGAAACCTTAGAAGATAAACTGCATGCATGAGCAGGAGTCAAGACAGTAATCATGTGAGAATTAAAAAAAAAAAGACCATTATTAGATACATGAGCAGTAAATGCACTTATATGTGCTATCTCTGCTCCAGAACACATTCTCTTTGTATTTCTTTCTTTATTTATTCATTTATTTTTTCTTTCTTTTTCATCTCTTTTTCCAGACTTATTTCTTTACTCTCTTTAGTCTTGTATTGATCATCAAAAGCTTCTGTTCCTCTTTACAGTAGAAAGTATGTGCTCAGTTTATGGGAGGTGGTGACTGTAATGAGGATTCAAGTAATCATCTTGTGCAAGGTGTCCAAACTGTATCTATTGATATCATGATGACTAAATCTTGACGAAGTGCCTTGAATCTAATACATGATTTAATTTAAAAACAAAACAAAACAAAAAATAAAGATGAAATCAAGGCATTATTATCATCTACAAGAGTGGGTTTAGATAAAGCTTATGAAGACCTTTTGTTATTCTCTGACTTTTATGAAGGCAATATTCTTTTTAAAAACAAAATATTAATCTACAAGTAAAAATTATATATATTGTTCAGGTGCAGTTTGGATATCCCTGTGCCGTGTTTTTATAAAAGTTGAGATTTTGTTTTTGATACTTGGGGTAACCTTTTCCTTCACAAACATCTCTCTCCTCATCTCTCACATCATGATCCATCTACATCTTCCATCATATTTTTTTGTCATATATCAAATTCATATTGGATGAAATCTGAGACTTCAAGTGTATACCTGAAACCCAAATTTAAACGCAAACACTCCATGAAACAGAATGAGATGCACGCAGAATAGCTGGCGGCTCCTCTGAACGGACGACGATCGAATAACACAACAACCCCCATACCCTCCACATACCCTCTTGCACGCAACGGGGACATACATAATAGGGTTTCTAGCATCTTCTCCACGAATACACACATATACACAGGTTCTTACACACGTCTCCCCCTTACGAACAGAATCGTGGCTTAATAAAGATGAGGACAAAAATGAAAAGGCAGGAGCGGTACTGCACTTATGCACTCCTTCTGATGGGGTATGACGGAGTCCGCACACTGAATCACGTCTAATCAGGGCTGAAAATCAATGAAGACCGGCAGATTATGCCTACTGGCAAAGAACAATGCTTAGGCTTTGCCTGGCTTTAGATAGCATGGGTGTGGGATGAGGCTCAGTGGCGGCACTAGCCCTCTCTGATTTTTGTTGCAATGGGGATGCTACATGTACACTGAATGAAAGAGCAATTAAGCCTAGATGCAAATACTCATATCATGACTACATTTAATGGCTTGGATTTGTATGCTAAGATGGATATCCTTGTTTATTTCGTCAGAAACAAAAACAAAGCAAATCAAAAAGACTCGAACTGAAATGCTGAATATAATATATCTTTAAAATTCTATAATTTCAATTATAACCAACAGTTTAATAGTATTTCATAAATTGACACAATACTGAGAAAGATGTCTTTAAAATTATTATGTGTTATCTACTGCTGATGTAGAAACACTATGCAAAAACTCACTCCCAAACCTTTGGGCATTATTTACAGTGATTGGAATATCTGTTGTGGGTGAAAGTAATCCACATGTCTTGATTTTGATTTGATTTGATTAATTGGTTTCATCCCGATGCATTTAAACTAGGAGGTAAAAATCAAATACAGAGTATTTAAAGAAAAAGACAATCCCTCTTTTCATAAATGACAGCAAACAGTTTCATATACCTGCTTCTTTCCCTGACAATGCATTATTTAATTTATTTCCAATTAATTAATAAATCTGAAATGTTCATTATTTCAGGTACATTATCTCATTTGAACTATTTGGGCCATGTATGCTACACTGTGATATATCTTTGTACATCTATTTCCACTGTCTATATTGATTATGAAATAAATACTTGAGGTAAAGTATACAAAACATCACACATTACAGCTAAATACTCTGAAGAGTAAAACTTCTGACTGCTTTTTTCAAATATTTAAAAAGAGACTCGTATTAAAGGTTGCTTCCACAGTGGAGACTATATGACCTTTCTTACAACAGCCAAGAGTTTTTCATTTCCTAAATCGTCCTTCTCCCTGGACAGCTATTAAGTTAACCTGCTTTAAGTTTCAATACATCAAATCATGAAAGATGGTGATTACGGGCAAAATAACATTTATCAAAGGTACCTTATAACGGCATAAAAATGTCAATGTTGCTCTTCCATATTCGTCTGCCTCAAGGCAAAATTTGATATAATAGAATGTCAAATATATATTTAGACGAAACTCCTAGAGCATGAATTTAAATGTATACAGGTACGTGCAGTATATCAAAAAATATGTTTTTCATATGTTTTTCATGTATTCCACCCCCCCCCCCCCCCGCCCCAATAATAACCAGAGCTACTTTGGCGGCATTGTGCTCTCAAAAACTTATCTATTTCTATCAATTTTAAAAGGAAAAAAAAAAGACTTACAAAAGTTACATATGGTAATATGTGTTACGTGGTATTGTTATCTACTGCATAACAGAGGCCCAATAGCATACTATCCCACCATTGAAAGTATATGACCCTGTTTGAATATCAGTGGCCATGAATGAATAAATAGATAAAACATTATATAGAAGAACTTCATCTTCTAAAATTTTTCACATTTTCTTTGTAGAGGTAAAAGCAAATACCGGTAGCTTGAAAATATAAAAATGCGTAACTTGCATAATTATTAAAAATAAGTAAAAATGATATTCTAAAATGCATAAATACTTTGAGTTAAACTCCCAATAACTAGATGGAATAAACTTCAAAATGTTAAATATGATTGATTACATCTATAATCAGGTGTGAATATTTATTTGTTTAGCAATGGCATTGGTCACTAAACACTATGAAAAAAAAGGATATGATGTAGTCATTCTGGCTCTTATTCAGGTTCATTATCTTTTGTATATCATTTTTTAATCAAATTAATCAAACAAATCTGTTTAAATAACCTGATTTTTATTCCCAACCCTGCTTTAATTCAGTTACATTTCAATGACCCCAACATTAGGAAGCAAGTACAACTGAATTCAAAGTCGGCCATTCTATCGACATGTTCAACCTGCCAGGCATGCATGTCTTACACAGGAGGTGTCATAACGCAATGGGGCGCAACAAAACATCCCTCAACACGGCATCCATACTGCTATCTCATTATCGCCATTTTAGAATAAGCCTCGACGTAAGCCACTGATCACTGTTCATTCATGAAAATGTCCTCATTAATTTGTAAGGCAATGTGTCATCAAGTCATCCACCAAAGGAGATGGCAGATGTTCGTCAGGGGGACTCGTCTGGAGACGTTTCCACACAGAACATTCACGGTCTGGGTGCCGAATGAGAATGTCTGTTTGTTTCGCTGTTGTGGCCAGGTCGAGGCACATGTTTAGATGCTGTTGCGTATCATGTGGAACCAATACGATACAATTAGAATGGTTCATTTTTGCCAGCTATTTTGAGAATTACTTCCATGATTATATGAGGTGTGTTGCACTGTACAGTACCGTAGGTGCTTCAAACAACCCAAGTTTTTATGTTGTCTTTACAGTCGCAAAGAAAAGCTTGTTTTGGGGGGTAAATTCAAAAACAGGATCATAGTTATTGAAATTATATATCATGGCACAATGTGTTTCTCAATATGAACATGCAAAAAAAAGTCACAATAGTTGAAACTTATCTCAAAAAGACATGTGATATGTTTCAAAACATAGTGGCATTATCCATTAGGGTGAAGTTCCTATACTTTCACTGGGAAGAAAATGAAAACTTAAAGATTTTTCACCATGAAATGAAATTTAATTAGAAATATAATTGAATCAGACAAAACATTATTGTAGCTTTGCTTGCTCCTCTTTGTATAATACTGATAAACAAATGATGATTAACAGTTCCAATACTTATTCATGAGGTGGGAATCGATCAGACTGCAAATCATAACCAACCAATTAACAGCAGTGAGTTCATATTTTGTACAAAACTCTTGACTTAACATTAAAATTGCAATATGTCCATTTTTTTAAAAATCATTTAAATGTCAAAGAGAACCAAAGCATATTACAGGTTATATTCTGTGTGTGCAGAATAAGCTTGCCGGTTAAACAATGCTTTAATGATTGATGCTTAGAATTCATGGAATTCTCAACAAGTTACATGAAATTCCTTTAAATCCGACGTTTATATTTTCCTGAGAATACA